CTGGAATTTAGCCTTTGTTGTTTCCAATCGTCATTTTATCGAAGTTAACTATACACTTCCTCGGTAGTAAGTAGTCCAACTCTAATATGTATTCATCTTCAGTGTCAGCCAAGTATACTTTGTGTCTGTTCTTTATGCCCATGAGCTCAATAGTTACCCACACTGGTCCCCACAACCTTGCATAATGTCCTGTCACACCACAGGGCTTCTGGTATTCCTTTATGATCTAGCACCTTGAAATTCACAATGGTTTGCTGAAATGCAGAATCAATGACAAAGTTGCACTTTTGGCCATCAAGCTTTCCTGTCACATAGACAGTATGTGTGCTTGCCATTTTACACTTAGCTGTTGGGACTTTCATGATGAGGTTGGTGGGTGTCCCTCAATACCAGCCACTACTGGTTTCCCTGAGGCTGACTTATTGGTAGTGTTCTTCTTACACTGGCTCTTCATATGTCCTTGCTCTCCACAGTTCCAACAACCTTTCTGGGTAGCAGCCTTTCCCGCCATGGCATCTTCCCTTTGTTGAAGTTGCCGGCATTGAGCTGTCCAGGTTTGTTACAGTGCCAGTAAAGTCCCTCAAACTTCTCTGGAAGCTGCCCTTTTCTGGCCTTGAATCCTGATGACTGTACCAACCTTGGTACCTCTGTGCTGGACTTAACATAGGATTCGAATTCAAGAGCTCTGGCCATTGCATCCTTCATAGTAGAGTGGTGTGCTTGCTTTATTTGTATCTTCAGTTGTGGCATCTACAAACTGATCCCTCAGTAACAGCTTGAGGACATCGGGTGGTGCAGTTGGGTAGGCCTTGTGTGCCATACTTTCCAAATCATTTGCCAGTTCTTGCAGGTCCTCCCCTTTAGCATAGACTCTAGTCCTAAACCTAGCCTTCGGACTGATTTTGAGTTCCATACCTGATTTCTAGAGCAGATATCAGTGCTCTATAGTTGTGCCTGTCGTCTGCTGACAACTGTACAAGTATTTCCAGTGGTTGTCCCTTCAAGCTCGTTGCCAGGTACACTGCTTTCTGCTCCTCTGTCCACCCATTCATTTCTGCCAGGAGCTCAAATTGTGCTCTATATGCTTCCCATGGTGCCTTCTCATCGAATTCCTGTGGGTTCCTTCTTACTAAATCACCCCTATTGCTGACACTCATGTCTGAAATGTAACTTCTGACAGAACTGAAGATGTCTGCATTAGGGTTTAACTGCGGGGACTGGAAGGGGATTCTTGTTGTCTGGGGCTGATTAGGTATCTTCCTTGTGTAAAAAACAGTAAATCATCCTTTAATGTATTTAATTCACTTTGAAATTTACTAATATTTTCCATTTGTACTTCATGCTGATATTGTACTCTCTCTCTTTGTTCTTCTTGCCACTGTTGTTGACTTTCCTGTAACTGTTGGAGGCTTTCTTCCTGTTTCCTTTCTTGTTCCAGTTGCAACTGGTGCTGGTTTTTTGCCACTGCTGTAGTCTCTCTTCTTGTTTATTTTCTTTCTTCTCCAACCACTGCTGTAGTTTTGCTTCGTGTTTATTTTCTTTCACCTCCAACAACTGCTGTAGCCTCTCTTCTTGTTTCTTTTCTTTCTCCTCCAACAACTGCTGTAGTCTCTCTTCTTGTTTCCTTTCTTTCTCCTCCAACCACTGCTGTAGTCGCATTTCTTGTTTCTTTTCTTTCTCCTCCAACCACTGCTGTAGTCTCTCTTCTTGTTTCTTTTCTTTCTCCTCCAACCACTGCTGTAGTCTCGCTTCTTGTTTATTTTCTTTCTCCTCCAACCACTGCTGTGGCCTCTCTTCTTGTTTGTTTTCTTTCTCCTCCAACCACTGCTTTAGTCTCTCTTCTTGTTTGTTTTCTTTCTCCACCAACCACTGCTGCAGTCTCTCTTCTTGTTTCCTTTCTTTCTCCTCCAATCACTGCTGTAGACTCTCTTCTTGTTTCCTTTCTTTCTCCTCCAACCACTTGTGTAGCCTCTCTTCTTGTTTGTTTTCTTTCTCCTCCAACCACTGCTGTAGTATCTCTTCTTGTTTATTTTCTTGTTCTTCTTGGTTTGTTTTCTTTCTCCTCCAACCACTGCTGTAGTCTCTCTTCTTGTTTATTTTCTTGTTCTTCTTGTTTGTTTTCTTTCTCCTCCAACCACTGCTGTAGTCTCTCTTCTTGTTTATTTTCTTGTTCTTTTCTTTTTCCTCCAACAACAATGATTCCTTTATTATCACTGCAAATAAACTTTTCTAGTAAATTTCTGCAGGTATGCACAGTGTTATTTACAAAAGCAGTTATATAACGTAAGACCATCATCGAAGGAAGAGAAAAGTAAATTTTAATATGTGAAAGTAACTCTGGCAGGGGTTCGTTTGCACCCCCCCCCCTTTTGCTACGGGCTGGCATATAACAGCATAACAGTTACATAAGACACACAAGTAAAATAATATCCTTTAACAAAAATCATTAAATATTTTCAATACAGTATGTCATGATATAAATGACTGTTTGGTTTAAATATTAGGGATTAATTTATATTTGTGAGTGAATATTGTTATTATTTTTAAGTTTTTGTTAGAATAAGAGTTAAAAGCAGACGATTGTAGAAGATTTTGTTAATAACTAATTAACTAAATAGGACATATTTCATCCCATTGTCACCAAAATCCATCTTCATGTGTGACTTCTGTTTGGTCCCCTGCCTTACCTCAGCCCCCCCCCCTCTCGTGTAGCATCTTTTATTGCCTTTACTATGCAACCTTCCTTCTTGTCTATGTACCAGAGGCATTGGTCTTACTTCAGACTTTGGTCTATTTGCCATAGCTTCTGATAGTTCCATCTTTCTGTTCCTTACCTGTCCAAGTTCTTCACCTGGTTCTTTGTCAGGGTTTGTTTGTTTCAACTGTTGCTCATTATAGGGCTGACCTGTCGAACACCTACCATTTTCCTGTTTTCCAGAAAGCCTTCTCTTCCCCTGTTATTTCTCTCCTTTTTCATTCATTTCATCTGGTCCATCTGTCATGTTCCTTTGTTCTGCCAGATTGAGATCTCAATGTTGTTTTTCATGCCCTGTCCACTTCTCCCTTTGAACCCATTGCAATGTATTCCTTGTACCATCTTTCCCTTAAGACCTATTTCCTCCCCTTCTTGCATGCAGTCATCATCATTCTGATATTTATGAGTCCTCTCACCCAAAGCTATCTTGATCCTGGCTTTCCCTCTAAACATTGCTAAAAACTTTTTGCTAAGAGTGCACCAGTCTTTTATACCTGTTCATTTGTAGTTTGGACTTGCCAATTCTTGAAAGTGAGGATTGTGCTAGAGCAGTAGAGGGAGGTAGCTGCACTTGTATAGATGGCACAGTATGACTGGTGAAGGGTAGTCACATGATCAGCACATTTTCTGAAATGGCATGAAAATGAAGAAGTATAAAAGACTTATCGAAGAGTTTTTTAGCAATGCTTAGAGGGCAAACCAGGATTAAGATAGCTTTGGGTGACGGGAGGTAAGTGCCTATCGGAAATACATTTTTAGTGTAAGAAAATGTTAACTTCACTAGCAATCTCTTGAGTTCCTTTTGCTGTGTGGAATCCAGATTGCTTACATACCTTTACCAAGCAACCTCATATATTTCAGCAATTATCTCAGCATTTGTTCTCTAATTTGGTGCAAATGAACCAACTCTAGCTGGACATCTACTCTAGCTACTTTTATGTCACTTACCAAGCCGATGATCATTCTAGTTCAGTATCCAAATGTCCATAATTACAGATAAGCACTGATATTGTGCAGTCACTTAAATGGATAACTGTTCAAGCAAGACTTCAAGTATTTCTGAACTTTTATAGAACCAGTATTACTAGAGAGCACAATAGCATAATTGTTGCCATGAATAGTAGTCTATGTGATCACCTAACTCTCATTATTAACTAATTTCTTTTAATCACTAGATACTAATTACTAACTAATTTATACCATATTTATTGGCTACTAGACTGCAGCCATTTCCAGAGAATCCTGAGAAGTATTCTGTTTGTGATGATAGTGGCCAGGATTCAATAATAGGTCCTTTTGGTAGAAAGACTGGTGTGTTATTCACTCATCTGTAGTTTCCCCATTAAGATGTGAAATCAATTAATTATTTAAATGCTTTCAAGAGGGAAACCCAATTTTTGTTTAATTTCATGCTAAGTTGGCTGAGTGTGTTATCATTTAGTAGATGTAGAAAACTTTTATCTTTTGTTATGCATGGTTCATATCCCACTATTTTCAACTTATTATATTTGATTGTGTGGTCTCTTCTTTGGATTTTTGCATATATTTTGGTTTTACAGAGTCTTGTATGACTGTTATGTTTCTGAATTCTAACTTTTGTTAGTCATTTTGTTTCTCGAATATATTGTAAATTATGAGCTTGCTCTCTTGTGAGTCTTTAGACGGTTTGTGTGCTGACCATATTGTGTTGTGGCTTCTAACTTTATGCTAGTTAAATATCCTCTGTATGTTTTGAAAGAGACTTTAACACAGGGGAATATGCTGTGTGGCTGTTATTTTCTACCTCCTTATATTTTGTGTTTATCTTTTTTATTTTCGTCTTTATTAAATTCATGGTATCCAATGTCAACGAGAGTTATGATGATGATTTTTCTTTTTGTCAGCAGAAAAAATAAATTAAATAATTAATAAATATAACTTCATTGATCATATAAACTACTGAACATGACAACATGTGATGTGCAAGCACCACAACCTTACCTTAAATACATTAGCATAAGGAATTCGCCAGCATCACCATTCATTGGGAAGTTGAGAAATGTCAAAGCTGGAATGACTAATTTAAGAATAAGATCACCACATTATATAACTGATTATGCTAAAACTTTATTCTATATGTGAGCCAAATATGTGTAAGTACACAAAGTTTTGATGAATAAGAATTGTTCACCTTTCTAAACTAAAAGGAAAAAACATCCGATATATTTCACACACTACAATATTTTTGGTATTTATGATTGAACTTAATGTAACTTTTTCTGTTTGTCTATTCAGGTGCTTATGCTGTAGAACGCTGCAATGTAGAAAAGATTGAAACTAGTGGTGGCAGAGTGAAGAGTGTGTACACCAACTTAGGAAAAATCGACTGTGAATATGTGGTATTGTGTGGAGGTTTGGTATGTGCCCTTATGTTCTACTAAGACCCTCTCAGAATTACAAGTAGAAGTTATAAAATTTTCAGATTTTTCTATTTTGTATTCTTTTTATTTAATTTTTGGAATGCACATACTCAGTGTTTATAAAGGCCTTCAATTGATAATCAGCACATCTTTGAGGGGAAAAAAAATAAGTGTAAAATTCGAATTATTTTCTAAAATTTAAGTTATCTGATGCTTTGAATATGTACTGCAATTGATGAAATATAAGTTGGATGTATACAGTACTAAAAATATTAAGATTTTTGACCTTAGTGATTCACACCAGCATCTGAAATTTATGCCATTTAGTTGGCCCTGACCAACTAGAAGTCCCGTGAACCAACTGGAATATCACAAAAAATAACAGGGTCAATTAGAATTTTAAGCATTTTTTTATTTTACCTTGTCATCAAACATGCATTTCTATACTTTTTTTTCCAAAAACCATAGTTGTGTTTTTGTCTTGTGAAAGTATCTTCTTTACTTCAATCTCCGAAATGGATATCTAGCTTTCTTGGGATATCTGGCCTATTTTTAAATGTTACGGGAAGTCCTTATAATATTTGAAATTTAAAGGAAACTCCTGGAATGTGTGAATGGAGGGATCAGTCCAAATAAAGTGTGATGAACATTAAAATCTCAGTGGAGAAATACCATACCTTCTGGTTTTCAATTAAAAAAGTTCTATTTTAATGTTAAACATGTATGCACATAAATATTTGCAGTTTTGTCTTTCTTTAGAAATTCACATTTGCAATTGGTAAATAGAATGAACATACATATATTTATACGTATGTGTGTGTATATATTGTTGCATCAGCGAGTCACATGACTACTGTGACGCCACGTTTCTAGAACTATCCTGTACCTTGGCGAATGCTCTAGTATTTACTAAATATAGGGTAGTCTGGTATATAAAAGAGGGTGACAACATGACAGAAGAAGGTGATGTGTGTATAGACAGTGAGTAATTGAACTGCAGTCAGAGAGCACGAGAGACGTTCTTTGAGAGTTATAGCGTTTGTTTTAGCGCGATTGTTGAAAATAAGTGTTATCGTAAAGTTGTATTTGGAAAGAATAAACCAATTTTATTAAGTAAGGACTTGTGTCGCTAAAGTATCGTCGAAACGAAGTTACGGAAAGTTAATTAACAAACGGAGACGTAACAAATTGGTGTCAGAAATGGGATGAAAAAAAATGGAAACGAGAGGCGGAAAATCAAATTACAGTTTAGCAGACTTGATGGCTGCAATACAAGAGCAGCAAAAGAAACAAGAAGAGAGACAACAACAGCTGCAAGAAAACCTGCAACAGTGGCAGCTCGAACAACAAAATAAACAAGAAAAGAAACAAGAAGAGAGACAACAACAGCTGCAAGAAAACCTGCAACAGTGGCAGCTCGAACAACAAAATAAACAAGAAAAGAAACAAGAAGAGAGACAACAACAGCTGCAAGAAAACCTG